TGGTTAATTTTTTTGATCTTTTTTTCGCCACTCTTTTATCTTGAATATAAATGAAGGGATGGAGGAGGGGAAGAATGAAAAAAAAGCCGCTACTGCCTGCCAAGAGGACTCCCTCTCATCTCTGGGGGCTGGCTGAAAGAGCTCTGTGCCAAAATCCTGCTTGGATTTTGGCACAGAGCTTTTTCACCACCCTGCAATCATGTGATTGTCATTTGCAATTTTCCTTGCCGGCTTCCCCAGAAAGTCAATGGGGAAGTTGGCAGACAAGGTTGCAAGCTGCTGCTGCCTGCTGAGAGGACTCCCTCTCATCTCTGGGGGCTGGCTGAAAGAGCTCCATGCCAAAATCCTGCTTGGATTTCAGCACGGAGCTTTTTCAGCCAGCCTCCAGAGATTTGCTTGGAGCTTTTTCAGGCAACCCCTCATCTCTGGGGGCTGGCTGAAAATGCCCCATGCCGAAATCCAAGCAGGATTTTCAGCCACTGAGGATTTTCAGTTCCAGAGTGGAGAAGCATCTCGACTCTGGGGCTGAAAATTCAAGCAGTTCTGAGGCCCTTGAACCCCCGACCCACATTGCACCCCCACACATCCTCCCTGACCCTCCCACACATACCCTCGCTTCTTCCCCCACCCAGCAGTGCCTGGGGCTTGCAACTTCCTGCCAGCTTCCCCACTGACTTAATTGTGGGAAGCTGGCAGAAACTTGCCTTGCTTAATGACCCATGATTCTCAATAATGACAGCTGGGAGTGCCAGGATTGTGGTCACTAAGTGAATCAGTCACCTGATGATTCACTTAATGACTGCATCGCATAGTGACCTAAATTCCAGTCCCAGCTATGGTCATTAAGTGAGAACTACCTATACATTGTATGGCAATTTCCTCTTTCTCAAAGAGACATTTATCTCCTGAATCCAGCCCACACTCCTCCTGCCAGGGGCAGGATCAAAAAGGTCAAGATGCTGGCCACTCATCAAAGCCCCTGCCTGCCTGGCTGCTTGCCTGCCTTTTTTAAAAAGTAAAACAAAAATATATTTTCAAAAAAGATAATATCTATAAATGGTCAGAAAATTACTGAAGTTGTACAATTAATGTTCAATATAACATTAGTAAAATATACCATGCAGAGTAACTTTAGTTGTTTCTATAAAAAAGAAGTATAAATTTTTGAGCTTAATGCCAAAATCTCCATTACATTATTTGTAAATCTTAAATAAAAAGGAAAAAGAAAACAAAGAAAAAAAACAAACCACCCCTAAAAATAGAATAGATGAATATTTAACATCTGACTTCTCTCCTTTGTATTCCAACTGATTTGCAGTACCTACTGGTGCAAACTTTAGAACCATATTCTAAAACCATACTTGTTATTTACCTTGCTGTGTAATATATAATAATATATGGAAGCTATTCTTGCTTTGGGGTGTGTGCGTGTGTGCCTTTGAGTCAGTGTTGACGCCTGGTGATTGCAGGTTTGTCGGCCAGATTTCAGAAGAAGGGTGAGAGAGTGTGACTGGCCCAGGGTCACCCAACTGGCTTCATGCCTAAGGTGGGATAGAACTCATGGTCTCCCAGTTTCTAGCCTGATGCCTTAACCACTACACCAAATTGGCTCTCCATTCTTGCTTCAATTTAATTAAATTTCTGTTTTGTATATAGAGTATTAGTTTTGCCATTGCTGCATATTCTCCAGGTTTAATTCCCAATCAGATATCACTAGTACTGTGTATTTTTTCCATTGTGCAAGATTTGGCCTCACAGCTGTAAGGATGTGTCTTAATAAATTATGGTATTTTTTTTACTGATATGTTCTAGAATTATACCTAGTAAAAAAATATGTTTTCATTTCAAATTAGATGCCTTAAGATTCTCTGAATGGTGCTGTGTATGTCTTTCCAATACTTTTGGGGTTTTTTTACATGTCCACCACATATGGTAGAATGTTCCTTCTGTTTTGTGGCATTTCCAGTATTTATTACTATATGATTTGTCTTGTTTGACAATTACTGATGGAGATGTATACCATCTGTAAAACATTTTATACAAGTTTTCTCTCAAACCATAACTTGGGATAAATTTTTTAGATTTGTTCCAAAGTTCTTCCCATTATTGTATTGGGACTGTTTCTTTGATGTTTTGCACCCAATTTATCATACGTGTTTTTATTTGTTCTATTGATAGAAGATTTTACATATATACAATTTACATACAAATATATTTCATATATATATTTTATGTTTAGTATTGAAACACTTAGACTTTTATTAATGAACTTTGAATCCTGTTTCATTCTTTTTGGAGGCCTTTTTCTCTAACCCTGATAGATAAGAAGCTGTACCCATAGAAACCAGGTAAGGTGTACATTCCAAGGATAGCTTCTTCCTAGAAAAAGGTGTTTAGCTAAAGGTCAAGGGGCCCTAGCAAGGAAGGAAGGAAGTCCCTTATACAGAATGATGCTGAAGTGAGGAATGGGTAACTGAGTAAGGGGTAGTATTCTATAGGAGAGGCTGAATGGAATGTATACAGTGTGCTGTAGGGGGAGGGTCCTGCTTGGTTGCCCACCTACAGCTTCCTGTTATTGCTTTTGGGTGAAGAATAAAAAACTTAATTTCATGCAACTGTTTGTTGTCTCTTTGATCATGGCTAAGAAACAAACTTGGTAAGAAATAAATTCTAACACTATCTCCATATCATATCTAAGTAAAGGTTTATATATATAGCCTAACAGATGGTCTTGATTCTGTATAAACATTTCAAATACTGTCATTTTTCTTAATGTTCCTCCTTTGTTTTTGAGGTCAGATGTTATTCTTCCAGCAATTTGTAGGTATATCAACCATGGTATGTTCTGGCTTTCACTCAGTAGTTCTTGCTGTGTCTTTAATCTATTCATGGGGCCTGGATGACCATGTATGCATATGTAATTACACTGTAGTTATCTGCAACATGAAAAGCATTTATAGGAGAGGCTAATGGTGAAATTGTTGGACAACAATTCCTCATGGAGTTCCATGCTTTTAGGTTCTTGTCTCTTATAATGTGTCCTTTTAGGTCTTCATCAAAGGCTTGCCCTTTTTTACATATGTCATGACAACAACCACCTCTGTTCACAGCACTCTGCAGCTGTGAGACACCTGGGGCTCTCAGGGAGCCCACAAGGCCATGGCCAGCCCCCCAACCCCTCCTAATTCAAGCAGGTAATTAAATACCCAGAACCCAAGGCCCTGGCAAGGTGGCAAGGTAGTATCCTGAGGCCCACCTCCTGAGAGCCCCCTAGCTGCAGTAAGCACTTATATGTGTTGGGCCCAAGATCACTTGGGTCAAGCCCAGGGTTTCCACTAGAAGGCCATGAAATCCAAGCCCCATCCGACACCACATTGAGAGCTTAGAGATTGAAGTACTCCAGCATCAGCCTAGATATAAGATTGAATGAATTGATCATAGATACTTCTTCTTATGACTTTAATCTGAACATTTATAGCTAAGAGGAAGGCTAACTATTACAAGAGGATGATCAGCAATTGCACAAAAACTAGGGGAAAGGATCTAATGTGGATGTCTTCTGAGAAAATGCCATAAATAGTCCCATTATTTATTCACTATATTTGTATTGTACCTTTCTATCAAGGAGCTTAGGTTAAGTTATGTATGATGCAGTCCCTTGCAATTTAGCTTCACAAAAATTACACAGCAAACATGTATCTATGAGATAGTGACTGGCCTCAGATTCTAGTAAACCTTTATGATATCTTGCTAAAATTGTTTCTTTTTATATATGAAATTCTGAATTTGATTGTATAAAGTATTTATAGTTAGAAACTGAAACTCTATTCTTACGTAAACCTGTAGACTCCATTCTTGAAGCTGTGTTCACCGTGTCTCCAAACAAGCAGTAACGAGGCATTTTAATCCCAACCACACCAGCTGCACAAGGACCTGAACACAAGACAAAATAGAAATTAACTTAAGAGGAAGAGCAGGCATTTATGTCTGAAAAGATGAGTCAGTGTTGTCTAATTAGCCTCACTGTTTGCAATCCCTCAATCGTGTGTATTAATATTTGTAACTCATGACTGTGTGTGTATGTATGGATGGTTAGACAGATAGTTAATACTGCTTCTGATGAGGTAGACTATAAAAAGTTATGCCATAGTCAATTAGCAATCATATAAGTACAGTGAACTATAGTCAACAAAAAAAAAAAAATGCCACAATCAAGTTATTATGACTTAAGATACCACAGGTTATTCATTGTTTTTCCTAACGTAAGTGTTTCATGAAAAGATATGGCAACAGAATGAATGTAACAAATTGACTTGATCAGTTATGATTATAAACTGAAAGAACTGCTGAAGAATACTTTTTCTTCCTGCATATGTAGATGGTGCATCTGGAGAAATATTAAAAGATGTATATAAGTTGCTGATGGAGTGACTATACGACATTTTCAATGTGTGTGATGATTGAGTCTTTGCCTGATGATTGGAAAAATGTTGTCATTGTTCCCTTATATAAAGGGAAAGGCAACAAGAGTGAATGCAAACTACAGGGGGAGTTGTTTGATAAATGTGCCTGGGAAGATATTTAGCAGAATGCTGACTGAAACAGTGCAAGACCTGGCATTGAGAAAAATTTGACAGATGCCTTATTATGGAACTATACAGATCAGATATTTAATCTTTAATGCGTCATTGGGAATTGTTTGAATGTGAAAAAGAAAATTCATTGTATGTAAGACAAAAATATCTGAGGTCCCTTGACTGTTTAATATATGTATGGGTAAATGTCTAAGAAATGTTTGTAGTGTTATTAGAAATGTGTTGCTTGGGTACCCGAATATGTCTGTAGCTTTGTATGTGGATGATGTCATGTTGTTGACTGATAATGTAAATAATTTTCAGTGATTGTTAGAGAGATTGTATGATGCAATGAGGAATATGGTTCTGAAAAGTAATGCCCTGAAGACCAAGATAGGTTTGGTTAAATATTGTAAAACAAATGTATGAAGGAAGAGTGAATGGGTTGAGAATAAGGAGAAGTTGTAGAATTTTTTGGCTGGATGGAGTTGATAAAATCCTGAAAAAGAGACAGAAAAGAAATTTGAAGAACAAAAGGCAATGCATGAATTGGTGAATGGACTTGGTGGAAACAAGGATAGTTAGCAAGACTGAAAAGCATGGAAAGATACAGTAAATGCTGCTAGTGGTGGTATAAACTATATTTAGTTTCCTTTCCTTTTCTCTGATTTCCTGCCTTTAATTTCTTTCCATTACTAATTCTTACCCCTCTTCTACACTTTGCATAATGTTACTTCTCTCAAATGGGAATAGCATGATGGCTAGATATCAATATTTAACATTTTTTCTTTTGAAAAAGTAAAAAATGTATCAGTTCAGTAATTTATTTGCAGCCTTTAATGCCCTTAGTCCAAGGACTACTTCACAGTCCACACTGATATGTTCACCCAGATGCATACCCTTTTTTCCTCTTTCCTTGTGCATACAGATACACACACATATGCATACACATAGACCAGTGTTTCTCAACCTTAGCAAGTTTAAGATGTATGCACTTAAATTCTCAGAATTCCCTAGCCAGCACACACACCATTCTACATTATTTCTGGAGTCATATACCAATGGTACATCATTTAAAAAAATTCTCTTTTAAGTTATAACATAATGTAAATTTCAGTTCTTTCAGCCTCATATTTCTCGTTGTTCCATCAGTATATTATGTCCAAAGTTCTTAGTCCATTTTATCATACACTCTTTAACTTGTTCTTCTTCCATTTCAAATTTCAACAAAAGTGTATACATTTTAGCAAATACATGTTCATCATTAGTATATAATTCAGTCTCAAATTCTGTCTTATATTGTTCAGTTCCAAATGTCCTTTTATCTACTTTAAATCTTTCTCTTACCTGTACATATGAGAACCGATGAAAACTAAATCCTTCCTCAGTCAATTGTTCTTTTGACTTCATCTTATATTCTCTGTATTCTTGTTCTAACAACTCATGGTATGTCAACCATTTCTCTTTGCCTGCTGTTTCTTTTCTATAAAATGCTTCTTGTGCTGAGATCCACAGAGGTGTTTTCAGGCACAACCTGGGTTTGTTTCTATTCCATATTCTAAATGTGGCACTTCTAACATAATGATTTTTAAAATCTACATTAACTTTATAGTACCATAAAAAACCATGCCATCCAAATCTCAGGTCATGCCCTTTTAAATCTAAAATCCTCTTATTTCTTAGTAACACTCATTCTTTCATCCAAACCAAATAGCAGGTTGCAAAATACAGTTTCAGATCAGGTAGTCCCAGTCCCCCTCACTCGTTTGCATCTTGAAGAATTTCAAATTTGACTCTTGGCTTTTTCCCTTGCCATACAAACCTAGATATATCTTTCTGCCATTGCTTAAATGGTACCTCAGTTGTTAAAATAGGTATTGTTTGAAACAAAATCATCATTCTAGGTAATATATTCATTTTTATCACAGAAATTCTCCCCAACAGTGACAATTGTAATTTTCCCCATCTTAACATATCCTTCTTAATTTCATTCTATACCTTAACATAATTATTTTGAAATTATTAATAATAAGAATGCCAGCCAATGGGGAAGGCAGGAAGCAGTTTTGCCCAATGGGAAAGGACCGGGTGTTGGCTCAGAGAGCCATGTGTAGGAAGTGTTTGCGGAGAAACCACTTGGGCCTGCTTGCCATGCCCCAGGAAGCCACAGCCACCCAGCCCAGTCCCAGCAGCAGTCACCCTCACCATTATTATTATTATTATTATTATTATTATTATTATTATTATTTGTAGTAGTAGTAGTAGTAGTAGTAGTAGTACTAGTAGTATTGGCCAGTAGCACAGTGCAAGTACTGTAAGAATGCCAGCCAATGTGGAAGGCAGGAGTGGTTTCATCCAATGGAAAAGGGCCGGGGGTTGCTTCAGGGAGGAATAATTCACCAGAGAAACTGCTTGCAAAGGGGCTTGCTTTTGCTGGCTTCGCACAAAGGGCCTTCTTGGCACAAAGGGCCAGGCCGGGCACACCTCGTCAGCAGTGAGAGCAAGAAGATGGCAAGGTGAGCAGAGGCAGCAGAACACAGGGTGGCAAGGTTCTCGGAGAACAGGGTGGTAAGGGCGACTGTGGCTGGGAGTGTAGTGGGGCAGCTGCGGTTTCCCGGGGTGTGGCAAGCAGTCCCAGAGCTACACAGTTCTGGGACTGCTTGCTGCCCCTCAAGGCAGGTGCAAGGTGGCCAAAAGGGCAGAGATGGGGGAGAGATAGGCGGGTGAGGGAAGTTGAAGGCAGTCCCTTACCTTACTGAGCTTCAGTGCTGGGAGGAACCAAGCCTGGAATGGCTTGGACTGGGGTGGGTCCTTGGCTAACAACCAGGGAAATTTGCTTAATGACAGCAAGGGGAATTGCTGGGATTGCCATTGCTAAGTGATGCGGTCAATGTGACATCTCACTTTACAACCGCATTGGTTAGCGTTGGAAATTCTGGTCCCAATTGTACTACCTGTATTCTTTCGAATCTCCATTTTTATGTCTCCATACATCTACAAGCTCTAAATTGTCCATCATATCAAAAAATATTTTTGGTAGTTTGTCTTGTGTTCTTAATGTCTTTCTCAGAAGTTCCATCTTTTTGTGGACTCCATTCCAGTCTCACATTAGGCGCCAATTTTCATACAATAAGTCATTTGTCCACAAGTCCTTTATAAAATGTTACTTTATCCTCATTTGGGGCATAAATTCCTAATATCAAAGTCTTAGCCCCATTTAAATTAACTTCTGGGTGAGGTTTATGGCAGGCTAGACATCTCTGAAGAAGCGGAGATGGCACTGTGGCAGGAATGGTCACCAGTAATAGTTTCTGACCAGCGGAGTCTCTCCGGATAAAGGAAAGACTGAGAGATCACTCACCTGCACCCTGGATAGCTGCTCCTCATGAGGAGACTGCAGGAATAGAAGTCTTGCAGTCTTCTCATGAGTAGAGTGGCTGGGGGATAAGGGAGAGACAGTGTGCTCACACCTACAGCACAGCCTTTTTAAGGAAATTAAGTTCGCTCAACCCACTTTCTTAAACACTTTTGGATATAACCAATTTACAGTTAAAGAGGGTTCTTTGCAACAGCAGGATAAAGAAAACAACTACTTGTTGAATCAGCCTGCTTCTGAGTTACAGAAAAAAAAGAAAAGAGGAAAATAATCTTTTTAAAGACTCTAAGTTAACAGCAAAGATCTTAACAAGACTTTGACTTAAGAAAGCTATAAACGGATAAAGGGGACTATATATACCATGTGCACAATTATTAGGCAAGTGAGTATTTTGACCATA